GCAGTACCCAAGGTCTAGGGGTTAGGGTTTGGGGTTTAGGATGCAGACAAAAGCTGGTGCCAGGTGGCATACGCATAGCTTGGCGCAATACTGCGCAGTCGCGGGCACAAGCGGCTCCAGGCCACAAAGGAATCGTCGTCGACTTTCATGAAGAAGTCCTTGTGATGGCACGCGCATGCTTTAAACAAGCAACCTGTATGCACAAGCTCGATTTGTAAATCGCATAATCATGGATGCACATAACGCACTGTAGTAACTGTTACGCCTAGCTGTGGCTCAAAGTCTAATGTCCCACAGTTACTAATGCTAATGCATCTTGAGTCCGAGGACGCAGACCGCGACAAAAAGTGCTTCATGCCAGCCAAGACTTTTTGTACCAGCCTCCCTTTGCCGTAGCCTTCTTCGCAGTCCAGCATTTCAAGATCTCCAAATTCTTCACGCTCCTCGTCTAGCTGCGCCGCGAGATGCAACGACGGCTGCGGCTTCTGGCAAATGAGGAACTGAAAAGAAACTCTGCAGTTCTCTCGGCTAGCAGCTCGCCAGAGATCTCGGACTGCTGCTCTCCGTGCCAGGGCATCTCGTCTGGAAAGGATGATGACCCAAACAGAGACGTCTGTTGAAGTTGAACGGATGGCGGCATAGCTCAGGCAAGCTACGAGCACAGCTGCCGCACTCAGCAAGTACAGGTTTAGCATCAGGCTACAGGGGCTGACAAAGGTGGAAATGGCTTCCTGCTTCAACAGGACACGTGCAGTTATGGATAATTCCAGCTGTCAAGCATAGAGGCCCCGCCTGTGTTGCACAAGTCATCCACGATGAAGACGTGCTTGCCTTCTGGGTCACCTTCTGCAACTCGAACTACTCTCTTCTCTCCTTCGCGTACTTTGCTGCAGAAGAGGACCTTCCAAGCAGCGTCAGGGGCAGAACTTCAAATTGCAGGCCCAAGGAAATTTGGTCATTGGACCATCTCCTGAGGATGAGACAGGATAGCCAGCCTTTTCAAAGAAGCCTCCAAATCTCTTCTTGGCACCCTCATCTGGAAAGGCCACAGCAACAGCCTGCAGAATGGGCAAGGCATGCGTCATGTGGATCACCTTCTTGCGTCAGCATGAAACAGCTCCCTTCCCCCAATCTTCAAAGATTCCTACAAAAGAGTAGGTAACATGAGGGGAAGGATGAAGTCTGTTCCACTTGGCAGCGTGTCACTTCCGACCAGCCTCCGTGCTGAATCCTTAGAAGTCACTCATGGGCACTTGGTGATGCTCGGCGCCTACGGCTGGCAACACAAATGCATATAAGGGTCGTGTCTTCAGCAGATTCAGCAGGAGAGGCATAGCAGATAGCAGGACGGGCAGGATGGTGTCCTGGAAGTAGAACCTATCACCAAGGCGCCAAGATTCTTTGGGCTTACATGAACTGATCACCGAGCCTGATCTGCAGCGCATGTATGTCAAAGATCAGGAATCGAGCTGGACCACCAGGCGTCATTGGGACAGCCGAGATCATCCGAGAGAGTGTGGAGGCAGTGGCAACCTCCCCTTCTCGATCCACGCGCCTGCAGCAGGAGGTTGATAATGCCTTCCAAATGAGCTACAGTCTGAACTCCTGGTATTTGCCTTAGTAACCCCTATAATAGTCCGCTTTATAGTCCCTTATATAACTCCGCTTCAAACAGTTCCGACTCTAGTTCAAATGCTCTGCCAACCAAGCTGCTCCATGGTCCCGGTGGGGAAGAAAGGCAGAAGCACAGTCAGCGAGCGGCAACCATAGCGAGGAATGGCATAAAGCAACGAAAGCCTTGGATGAACTCGAAGCCTAAACCCTACACCCTTAAACCTTCAATCCAGTTTCGGGCTTAGGGTGTAGGGCTTAGAGTATGGGCTGGGCAGCCTCGCACAGGCTTATCCTGTCAGTGAAGACTTTGGCCTGCGGTTACGTTTTTTTTTATTATTCTGGTAAGAATTATAACTGCAACTATCGCTACTACTGGTAGTATTACTACTATCATTAGTACTTCTTATTACTATTAATACTCATATTACAATTATCATTAAATTATTTCTGTTTTTACTGTTATAACTAGTATTACTAGCATTCCTAATATTGCTAATACTGGCATTTCAATTATGATGTCTCAGGGCCCGGCTGGTCCAGCAAGATCTCCTTGCCTCAGCTCTGCTGCAGCTCCGTTTCATATGTGATGTAGCCTGGCGGCCTGTTCTGGCCGTGGCCCAAACGTCTCATGTTCAAGAGCAGAAGGACGTGCGCCGGCAACAGCCTGTGAACCTCCTTGATGAAGGGTTTAGGGTTTGGGTTGAGGGTTTAGGGTTCGTTTGGTAGTTTTTGTCCTCGATGAAGATGTTGGGCATGCCAGACTCGAACTCACCTTGCGTCAAGATGCCCTCCACGGCTTGCAGAGGATCAGGCACACAACTGCATGTTGAGCGCTATGTTTCTGCCAGGAGGCGCCAATCAACTTTGACCTGCGCTAGGAGCGATTGCCAATGCTGCACTTATGCCCATGGAGCCTGGCCTCTGAGTAGGACTGAGGGGAGAGCGAGATGAGCGCTTCCCTTAGTGGCTTAGTTGCTGATTCAACCACTCTCTTTGGCTAAAATATATTGAAGCATTGCTCTGTGCGACGCAGGCGCTTGATGTGGTTCATGGAGGGATGCGCAACAATGATGTACTTGTTGCTGGGTCGGGATTCAGACAGCACAGCCTTCCGCAACACACGCTATTCCATGCTGGGCAGGACTTCCAAAACACAACATCCGCACACAAAAGGTCCAGGTTACAAAATAGCATCGAATTGCATTTACTTGAGGAGGCCGCAAATGTCAAAAAACATGGAGCGCGTTTCGGCCCAGGCCTCAATCTGAGTGGTGACCATCTGCCGGAGTTCATCGCCATTCTCCTTCCAACCGCGCTGATTTCACACAGGAACACAAGACATGTGGGAATTCATCGAAGTCGAACTCCGCCCATATACACCCCACAAGATCTTCTCTACAACCCAAGCACATCGAACATCGAAAAGCAGCTGACCCCCTATATGCCCAAGCCTCCAGGGGTCGTTTCCTTGAGCCGGTTGGCGTTGCCATGGCTCACAGATGTTTCTTGTACTGGACTACGAAATTTCAAAACCAGTTGCCACATCATTTGAACATGTTCTTCTGCTCGAATGAGTGCGTATAGCTGGGGTTACAGTTACAATGATGCTATAAGGGGATGTACCGGATAGATGATTTGAAATGTTAATTTCTCCGCCCTCCTGGCAGCGTGCATTCCTTGTTTTTGGGCCAAATCAAAGCTGGACCAGCCCATCTTTTTGCCACATCATGACAAACACAGACAAGGCTAAATCTTGAAAAGAACGAAAACCAAGAAGAAGCATAAATGGAAAACATGCTTTGTTGGAGGGTTACTCTTTGATGATGCTCTGCCTCTGGGAGCACGACTATGGCAAAATGAGCATTTATTGGAACTTGGGTTCCTGAGATATGTCATGACCCTGCTTACAGACGAAAAAGGGTCCATGATCATGAAAGGCCAAAACCATAAACCCTAAGCCCCTATGCCCTAACAACAACATTCCATGATGCTCTCAATCCCTTTGTATCGCTTTAACCCCGGAATCGGATTCCAAACTGTGGCCTTGCAATGCTCACGGGAATTTTTCTGAACCTACATCCACAAACTTGAACATCAATCCTAACCCCGAATGCTTTCACACTAAACCCTATAACATGAATCTGCAGCCCGAATCAAATCCAAACCACAAACCTTCTTCGTACTCCAACCATGGGGCCGTCCTAGCAGCCTCAAAATCGGAGCTCTGTGGGCTGCAAAGAGCAAGCTTTTCATAAGCTGCCTCCAAAGCGAGAATGGTCAAAATTCACCCTGAAGGGTAGGTGCGGGTCTGATAACTTGCGGCATCTTACATGGTAGGGGCCCCAAGGTTTGTCGAAAAAGAGGTACCCCGGGGGGCATGGGATTGGTGTCAAGGACGCATGGGTACTATGTGCTCCGAGTGGCTGTGATTTCCTTGCTTAGCTTTGCATGTTGACCATTTGGATTTCCAAACTGCAAACCGGCCCTACCTTACTGTTTCTTAGTAGGGAATATAGGCATATAGTATATAGGGCTTCTATAAGGATTATATTCCCTTATTCCCTACTACTAAGAACCAGTAAGCTAACGCGCTGGTTACCGTACAACTGTGACGAAGTACGGGGTTGCTGTTAAGGAACTTAAATTAAGTTACTATATTGGGGAAACCATATTATTTACTATATATACCCGTTATGGTAACTTAATTTAAGTTCCTTAACAGCAACCCAGAGTATTCAGGCAAAGCAGCGCCTACACTACAACCTACCTTGTCAACCACGGCACGAAACCATTTAGGGTTTAGGGTTTAGGGTTTAGCAAAGTCGCAAATGGCAACTACAGTTTCTTACTGGCGAATAATGGGAAATGTGGGAATATGACCCCTAGATCATCCTACATAATACATTCCTGTATTCCCTGCTCACCCCCAACAAGACTTGGTGGTCACCTGGCGACGTCTATGGTGCTCCCTCCTGCTTACCCCTCACAAACTCTCGGATGAAAGCCTCTGAAAGGGACCACTGGATTGTGGAGTATCCCCACGTTTTGGGGGAGGCACAGTCCATTCCCTCAACCCTAAACCCCAAACCCTAAACCCCAAACCCTGAACCCTACTCCCTAAACCCCAAACCCTAAGCCCTAAGCCCTCAAACCCAAACCCTAAATCCTAAGCCCTATAAACCCTAAACCCTACATTTGAATAGAAATGGCCTGCGCAAGG